AAAAAAAACACCCTAAAATTTTGGTTACTAATAAAAAAAACACCCTAAAATTTTGGTTACTAATACTAAATTAAGTGAAAATGAAAACCATTTTAAAGCTATAATACAGCTTTGCTTATCACTCAAAGCTGGAATTCATGGGCCYGATCTCTTTCTCCATCACTGAAAATCAGGACTAATTCCAACAATGCTCACATGATCGTGATATACAAACAGTAAGTAAATAAATGTGAGAGCTATTTASTTTCASTTTAGATGCTGGTTTCTCTTTATTGTAACTCTTTTTTCTTGACTTGAGCTTGGTTTTATTGTTTTTAAAGTGACAACCATGCACACATACATTACGAAATTTGGGGTTTGGGGTTGTTTTTCCAAGTCCTCAAAAAATAAGATGTATTTTTCATTGAGTTTATCTGATAAGCAGCCACTTCAAAAATAAAGTAAATAAACCATCAACAAACAGTAACAAGCCAAAACACAAGATTATATTTACTGACCTTTGTGYAGGAGAGTGGATCCCTTATCATCCCGATCATTAACATTGATTACTCCACTTCTCACTAGTCCTCTAAGYACTGACAAGTCCCCTTTGAAAGCAGCATCATGAGCTGGGAAAGCTAAAACTGAAAATGAAATGCACATTTCCAAGCAGATGCCAGTAGTTCTACTGAACATGCTGGCATTTATGTCTCGTGGCTTGCCTCTCTCATAGCAACTTAGGTATGGACACTTCAGAGTTAACACAGTTAAGGCATCTTATTCAGCTRAACTGCAGCTGTGTAACCAGCAGCACTGACCACACTCTTGTGGTGAYTAAACATGTCCTGGTTATGGCTACAGGCATCTCATATAGTTAAGAGATTAATTTCACAGATGTGAAATAGCAAGTACACCTTTGGGTACTTCTACAGCATTATACATAATGTCTTTTTTAACCATATCTTGATCCATACTCACCTTCCTGTGCCTCTGGATGCTCTCCCTCTTTTTCCACACTATCAATATATTGCAGAATATTATCTTTATAGAACCGTTCAGCCAAGTCCCTTGGAGTCTCTCCATGGTCATTCCTGGCTTTCAGTGCGCGCGTAACATCGGCCTTTTTCCCAACCAAGAACTTAAAGCAATGCAAGTGTCCTTCCACTGCTGCCAGATGTGCTACAGCACAAGGTGAAACAAAGCATGTTAGAGCAGAGCCCTTATGCACACCACTGGTTAGATTTGGGTCATCTACCAGCATGTGAGCTATCCAACACCACACAAGGGGAAGAGCAGCCTCAGCTGAATTGGAGATGTGCAACTCCCACCCAGGACAGAGTTCAGCTCTTGGCAAAGGAGGTAAAGCTGTCAAGGACAGGATGTGCAAAGGTGATTCGCTGGCAGAGCTGACTGCAGGAGACAAAACAGACTCCCAACAGAGCACAGAGCCCTAGCTCAGAGTGCACTGCTGGGGTCTCACCTCCCCCATGAACATGGATCTCTGTCTTCACAGCTGCCTGAYCTCGCTTCCCAGGGATACTCCTTATAGGGGAACAGCAAGCAGTGTCCTTGATGAGGAGCTAAGGCAATTCCTGCTTTAGGCTCCACTGTGCCACCACAAACAAGTTGCATCACACCCTCATAAAAAATGAGAACAGTGATAGGCACTTTACTGGACAMAGTATTTGAAGGTACATTCCTCACCTGACCTTTAGCCTATGCAGAGGCTTACTTATTTAACACCATTACAGTGCTGGGCCTGTAACACAGGAAGAGGTACCAAAAACATGCTGATTTGTTTAACATTAATAATATTCTCTAGTTTCATTAATTGGAAGAACTTGCCTACTATTATTATTATTATTATTATTATTATTATCATTATCATTATCATTATTATTATCATTATCATTATGTGCTATCGCTCCATGAAAATGCTCTGTAAAAGCTGGCCAGTGTTCTAGAGGCAAAATAATTAGTTTGTCTCCAGGTAAGAATCTTGCTATCTTCATGTACCCAGGACCCAAAAAAACCCATGTCACATCATTTTTTGCACACACAAGTTTTCTACAGCAAACCATCCACAACTTTCCAAAGCACCGTTGCTCTAAAAGGTTATGGATACTGGTTTTATATCAAGATGACAATAGCTCAGTACAGATGATTGCTCAAAATCTGAGCTTCATTGAAATCAGGACAGTTTTTCCCATTGTCTGAATTTTATCCAGTAAATTAGTTAGGGAGAAGGGAAAAGAAGAGTACCATGCTAATGGCAAGTCAGCTAGTGAAAAGCTGTCTCAACCCTTATGAATCTCTTTTCAAATTCCTAAAATCTTTGAGRTAAAACTTCATCCAAAGAGGATGAAACCTTTTTATCAGATATCATTTTATCAATCTAGCCTGTGTAGAAAACTATCAAAAAAGTTCCACATTTTCTGCAAAGACAGCAAAGGGAAATAAAGAGTTGTGTTCTGTTCAAGACTTTTTGCAGTTTCATTGGGATGCTGTGGAACACACCTAAAGGAGCTTTTCATAGGTGGTTTTTAACCTGTGTGTGTCTCAGCAGCAAGTGCCCAACACGTAACTGTACCATCCCATTCCTCAGGCATGCTGAGCACACTCAAATGGGAGACTTAAGTCATAAGGTACCATGATGTTAACACAGTAACATCAAAATGTACAGCTGAGTGCCAAGAACTGAAAAACCTCGTCTCAGGCATAAACAGGCAGTGGGTAGTTGGTGCTGGTATCCCAACTTCTGTGTTTCATCTTATCTTTTACAAAATCAGACTAATGCTATTCACACTTCTCAAAGTCAAAAGTCAAAAATAGTCTGGGAAGAGTGTATAGAATAGGTTTGATTCATGGGCACTAAAAGCATGTATGAATGCAGAGAGAAAACAAATTCTAATGTTAAATTAATAAGCACAGCCCATTCTGTATATTGAATGAGCCACAATTTTTTTCCTTCCAAAAAATTAGCATTCTAATTAGCAAAGATAGTTAGACCCTTTGCTGCAATACATATACACAAAAGATGCAGCCAGTTTTAAGTTTTAGGTGCCAGGCACTGCAACCTCAGAAAATTTCTTCCAGTATTCTCTTAAGGAAAAATTATAGCACTGTTCAGCTAATCTTGAAGCTGAAATATGTAAAGATAAGTTGGGTTCATTTCTGCTACACCAGCGGATGACAAGCTGTTTTGCACAGAACTTCCCCTAATCTTTTACTGGCCATGTTCCAAAATATTCTCTTTCCTTTGGAAGATAATATGATCAAATGAAATAGAACAAAGCCCGGAAGATCAAGATGCCACAACACAATAAAAACAGTTTTCTACTAACCATTTTATACAGAGCATTTAAGCAGAACTGTGCTGGCATCTGCTCTCTCTCCACAGAAGTCTGTTATCAGGGAAGCATTCCCAAAAGCAAATAAAGCTGCCTTCTATGCTGCCACCAGGGTGCCTAACATCATGACCCCTTATGGCTAATGCACCAGATTTCCTGCTGAGATGCAGGAGCCTTACATCCTTTAACAAGACACAGGTTTGCAAAACAGAGCATAGCTATCCATTTCCTAGGCAAGTGGTACTTAATAGAGAGCAAAAGATCTTAAGGAGGGATTCAAACAGGTAACTCTGTACAAGTTATAGAAGAAAAAATTATGCTYTTTGGAACACATAATGTGACAAACCATAAGAAGGAAAATGCTAAAAGCGAGAGAGTGCAAGGAGTACCCAAGACAGGAACAATACCATTGACCTTACAAAGGATATTGAGGCAGTGGCATGGTAGAGAGAATGACACTGGAGAAAATACAAAAAGCAAGGAACAATCACTGCCAAATTTCTGTGCTRAAGTGAATACACTGATATTTATGAAATTACAGATAAGCCAGAAAAAAAACAGTATTCCAGAAATCAAGACAAAGAAACCACAGGAAAATGAGAACAAGTGTTTTACAGAATCACTTAAGAAACAGTGGGATACCAAAACCTTGTAACGCTGGCACAAATTCAAAAAGTAACACATAGCAGCTGAAATTGCCTTCCCCTCCACCGACCCTTCTCTTGTGACCTCCACTGGCACAGGAGCTTCATTTCACACACAGGAGATGCTGCTCACCTGGTCCCAACCAGGCTTAGCCTGCTTCCCATCCCAGCACTTGTGAGCTCTCATACATGCTAGCAGCAGCAGGAGGTGAATGGGATACCAACAGAGCAATACTTTGGATTTTATAAACCTCCCATCATTAGAAAAATGGACTATATATAAATATTGATTGCATGGAATCAAATAAAAAATGCTGCTGTTTATAATATGCTCAATTATCACATTTCACAACAACTGTAAAGCAAAGGTTTAAAACCATATGATTTATCCTGATATACCTGGAAGGTTTCCATTGTTATCCACATCATCTACACATGCTCCCCATCGAACAAGAARCTGCAAACACCCCAATCGACCATGAAAAGCAGCATAATGAACAGGTTTCCAGTCATTCCTATCCGAAACATTCACATTCTAAAATGAAACAGCAGGTAAATTCATTCACTTCTGGATCTTAGACACAAGACCATTTTATATATGGGAATCAGCTGTTCATTGTTTTAAATAATTTCAATCAAACCAAATAATATTTTCAAAGTTCATGCATTATATGCAGCTCCCATTCCAAGACAGGTACTTTTTACTGGTTCTTGCTTTTAATTAACACAAATATAAAAGGTACATTTTTAGACATGTTTTTATCATCATAATGACCTGCATTGGTCATTATTCCTTAAATATGCATATGGATTAATTTTCTTTTTTTAAGTTTATGTCTCCTTTATTAAAGATTCGTACTACTGTGAAAAATTACCACCACCCCAGTACYTTATCTTCATTTAATTGCATCCTCAGTGGCATGTGATTTACTCACATTATTGATTCTCTGTAGACTTTTTTTATCATTTCTCTAAACGTGTATCACAATTTAAAAACTGGAAATTTACCCTAGAAATAAATTCACCCACAGTAATTAATCTATCACCCTAAATCTCAGTTTAAGCTAGGGAGGGTTTTGCTTGGGAAAAGTTGCCGGGCTGTGGCTCTGCAGTGGGACTGCAGGCAGGTGTCTCACCGCCCCCGCCCGCAGCAAGGTCTGCAGGGTGTAGGAGTGCCCGTGGGCTGCAGCCAGGTGTGCGGCCGTGCACCCACGCTCATCCTGAGCTGCTGCATCCGCTCCGTTCAATAACAAAGCCTGAAAGAAAGCACAAGTTCAATTCACAAGTGAAATAAACTTGTGAAAAAGTGAACAAGAAAACATTTCCCAGCAGAATGGCTTATGACCAGCAGGATAACTCTGGGCTGACCTCAGGGGCCTGGTATTGCACAAAATGGATCTGTTTGCATTGACAGCGCAAATGAGAGCTCTGGGTTGAAAATAACTGACTTAATTCCAGATGTCAAGACACCAAGATGAGCTACTCATAACCCTTAGGAGCTCCCACAGCTGATCTTCATAATGATTTTGTCCAGAATTAAAGCCTCCCCTACTCACTTTTGCTTGAGAGAAAATGTTTCCAGTACCTGCATGCAGGCATCCTGCCCTCGGATGGCCGCGAGGTGAGCTGCTGTCCAGCCTCGGACTGTCACTTGTGTGCTGTCAGCTCCATGCCAGAGCAACCAGTGAAGGCACTGCTCAACAAAACCAAAGTGCTTTTTATTTAACTATTCACATCATGTCTCTGAGGCACATTTCAACTAGAATTTATCCCTCAAAGTTGTATTTCAAAACAGTATTGGAATATACTTCCTTATGGAAATATGAGACCCCAGAGCATGCCTTAAACAGTTATTTGTGAATTAGGAAGTTACAGGTAAGTTATAGTTTCCAGGTTTCACCCAAGGGTACAAAATGTGCAAATAACCAACTAATTCAGATCCTAGCATCGATGTTACAGTATGATTTCTTCATTTGACTCTTCCAGATTTAAAATTTTATCTGTGAGAGTATTCACATGGCATGAGGTGAAAAGTATTGGAAAAAACAAGGTAAACATGTTCACATGAATTCCAGCTAAAATTACTAGCAGGAAAAATATCATGTACTAAATTTAAAACCTCATTTCATTTATTAGGCATCTTAGGCACATGTAATCCCATCTCTCTTCTCATCCTTCCATGGCCTAGTTTTGTTTTATCCACCTTTTTCCAGCACATATCACTGCTTGCAATGGAAAACTTTATGAATTATCCAAAGACAGCTAGAGGGAAAGTTAAAAGTTTTTATTGTATGTTATTATGATTTATTATCTTCTTTCAGGTCATCTTATGGCTGGTTCCTCCACTATTTCTGCCAAGGAGCTTAGTGACAAATAGATGACAGATAATTCAATAAAGTGCGACATACTGATTGCAAAGTAGGAGAGTTAAATGAAAAATGGCAGAACTTTTAGAGGCAGAAAAGGGCAGGTAAGCAATCGGTTTTTGGGGCTGGCATGATGATTAGCATTTTCTTGACAGCATCTCCACATTGCAGAAGCAGCACTGCACTTAGCAAGTGTGTGCACTTAGCAAGAGAGTTTAGCAAGAATTTCACCTGTTTTCTTTTGGGACATGAATGGCCTTGCTGCTTTAAGGTTAGAATGCCATGAACAATAGAGGCTGCAAGAAGGTCAATATTGTGCTGAAAACAGCAGTTCAATCCTTCTGAAAGTTCAAAACATTGATGCAAGCACCTACTGATTTCTACATCATTATTCAACATTTTCATTTATTAAAATAAATGTATTAGGATTACTTCTATAGAGAATGAGGCATGGGACATTGGTAATCAGAATGAACATGTTTTTGTGTCACTTCTCACCTGTTTCAGTCACCTTCAGAACGTTTTACACATCCTAGAGGATTTTCTAGGTGTCTCAAGAGAAGGGGGAAAACAACAGAGACAAAATAAGGTCACGAGTCTAAAAGGGAAGCCATAACACACATTTTCCTCAGAGTAAGAAGATAAATGATTTTGTAAAATATGGCAAAGTTTGTTAGGTAAATCGCCTAGGGCTTCAGAAAGAAAAAATTAAAATCTAAAATCCTGTACTTCTAGTCGTGGTGAATATATTTAATGAAAAAAAAAGGCAGAGATTATTGACTCAGTCTGATCAAAGCAATGTTCAGCCTCTCTCAAAGAGGAAAATATAGACTTACAAAAGCCCAGCTATGTCTACACACTAAGGTAATGTTTTACCTCCAGACTTCCAGAGTGGGCAGCACACTGCAAGGGTGTGAATCGGTGGACTTCATCCACCTCATTAATACTGGCTCCACTTTTTATCATTGATGCAAGCTGTTCTACATCCCCAGCTTTCACTGCTTCATGCACACTAGTATAATTTTGCTTCTTCTTGACAACTAGTGAGGAGTAATAAAAGGGCATTAGTCCATTGCTTAACTTAGGAACATTTAAGAGATAGAAAATACGTGATGAAGCAAAGAAATATCAGACTTGACATCCGTGGCAGAGAATCAAACTCTAAATGCAGAAGCAGTAGGGCAAAAAAAAAAAAATCTTCTGTCACCAGGCCATGGAATCAAAAAACCTGTGACCGCCCTTAAGGCCTTTCCACTGATTTTCCACTGATTAACTACATGACTGAAAACAATGAGAATTACATAACCAAACCCCTTGCAACATCTTGGTACCTTGACAAAACTTACAAATTTCAGATAGCCAAGTATGAAAGGAATCTAAACCAATTCGTATTCACCTTCTACAGCAGTCATAATTCCGGTACCAAAACGCACTAACACTGGTTACATTTCACACCCTTAGAAGTCCCGAAGAGTTGGGTTACTGTTTAGCAAGTCGAGAAAGCATAAAACTGAAGGTCTCAAGGTATTAGTGCCTCAGCTCCTCCACCTGTGGAGAAGAAATGGTAGTAGCAGTTAACACCATTACACAATTTGTGGTAAAAGAAAAACTAAAGAATATATAAGAGATATTGCATGAACATGTTTGTGATATTTGTACAAAAGCACCAGATACAATTAAAAACAGCCTCTGCAGTTTGCTAGTGCTTATTTTCATGTAATCTGTAGCGTGCTAGAGCTCAGGCAGATTAGGGGTTGCCCCACAAAGGAGTGGAGACTGGACTTGTCTCACTACTCCAGGCTGACAGTAACACACCCTGTGTATGCTGTAACACACCACTGGATCCTGTGCCAATGTCTCACCCCATCTCCACCTCCCCAGCTCAGCAGGCTGCATCACTGCCCGGAACAAAGCCTAGGAAGCTTAAAACCCACAACTCCATCGTGCAAAACACTGTTCAAATGAACAGCAGCAGCATAGAAACAAAGAATAATTCGGCTGGAAAGGGCCTCAGGATGTCGTGTAGTTCATGTTTCCAAATAATATTTCGAAAACATCTAACTATGTTTTGAGGTCTGAGTTGTTTAGCTTATTTTAAACAATACCACCGGGACACAATTATTTCCCAAGGAAGTAATTTCATACCAAGTAAGGGTTACAGACTACAGCCCAGTGACAACATCACAGGCAGGTCTGGCTGATTACACTACTTGGCGAAGTACTAATGTGTTTAACACAACGTTTCAGTACAGCAAGTTCAACGTAATTTTCCTTTTTTCTTAATCCAGAGAAAAGGCAAACAAGGCCCAGCAGCAGAAAGAATTTTGTCTCCCGCCTCCCTCTGTATACCACTGCATGGAGGATGGGTGGTCGCATTGGCTTCTTGGCACAAGACAAAGGCAGCAGCCTGGGACTGAAGCTCAGAAAACAGCTCTTAACAGCAATTCTGTAAAAAAATACAGTGATGTTCAAAGCAAAGGACAGGCTCCATAATTTTAGAGCAGGGTTGTTTTTTTTTTTTGTTTTTTTTTTTKTTTTGTTTTTTGTTTTTTTACCAAAATCTGTTATCAAACATTCGTTCAATGTTCTGAGAGAAAACTTAGTCGAAAGACTTTAGTAAGCACTTTAAGACCGGTGCCTGCCCAAAATTCACTCTAAGAGATGAAGTGAGGAAGGCTATGGCTCGGAACAGGGGCAAGGCACAATTGAGGTGTTGTGATGTTCCTTTAACACACAAACCCAATCGCGTGCAGCTCGGCTTTGGCCGCAGCTCCAGGGCGGCGGGCCCATCCCGGCCCATCCCGGCCCATCCCGGCCCATCCCGCCGGGGCGGAGGCGGAGCTGCCAGGCCCAGGGCAGGGGCAGAGCCCGCCAGCCAGCGCCCCTCGCCGCCTTTCCCCGAGTTTTTGGCGGATAATGAGCTCCCTGGTACAGCGTGTGGATCCCGGCGGAGCCCCGTGCCACAGAGCCGGGAGTTCGGGAGAGCCCATCCCGCCCCGCGCCACACAGCCGCTCCCCGCCCCGGGGAGGGGAAGGAGCAGGCGGAGAGGGGCGGGCGGAGCAGTCTCACCGGCCGGAGCGGGGCTCCGCGGCCCCTCGCAGCATAGACAGCGGGTAGCCGGCCGCTGACGCCAGGAGCAGTTCCCTCCTCCGCCTGTTCCGGCTCCCCGGCCCGGCGTTGCCATGGGCTCCAGGCTCGCCCTTCCCGTGGGACGAAAATGGCGGGCGGGGCGGAGAGGGGCGGGCACGGGGAGGGAGCGGGACGGCCCGGCCCATGGGCTGCACTGCAGCTGCCAGGGGCTTTCTGCACTTTAGACAGCCCTGGGTTAGCGCCTTCATGGCGTTCCCCAGGAGAAATGTACCAGTCCTCATCTCTGAACCGCCCAGTGATGCACTGACCCAAAGGGACTGAACCAGCTTGCGCTCTCGGTGATCTGACCCTGACCCCGGTCACACTGTGTGAATCTTCAAACCTCTTTTTTCTGCAGCGAGGTGATCCTGCTCCTCTGTTCCCTCAGTCAAAACCAGCTGGTGCCCTGGGAAAAAGCCGGGATCTTTGATGGGGGGGAAGAGGACCCCGCATTTCCAGAATCCTGCTTCCAGGCAAGTTGAACCCTTCCCAGTCAGATTTACTGGTGTGCAGTGATAATCACATGGACCAAATGAGCTTAATGGACCATTTAATTATCCTTGTCATTAGAGAGCTGTCATAAAGCCTTTTTCTGCAACTTAAAGGTCTCTTTTTGTTCTATCTCCAGTAGACAGAATAATTTGTTCTCTTTTTAACAGCATTCTACATATTTAAAGTCATCACATCTCTGCTCAGTCTCTGCTGAACTTCACTTAGTGTGATTTAGAAGTTTACAGTATTCTAGGACACAAAGCATCATATTTGGGCCAGGGGCCAGGCTACATCCCTGCTCCAGGAAGAAACTGCAGTAACCAACACTGAAGTATCTCCCCACTACACACACATCCAGCAGCCACACACCTCCATGTGGACTGTCACCATCGTGATCTATCTTGTATTTTTCTTCCTCAGGACTGTCTAATTAAGCAGCATTTTAAAGGCTGATACCTAGAACAGAGCAAGCTCACAACTACAGCTACAACCTTAATAAAATAATCAAAATATTATTTGCATATTAAAAACTGCATGAAGCCTAGATGTCAACATGGAAAGAAGTTTTTGCAGCCAACATCTGCACTGCTGATTATTTCTTACACACTAAGGGTGAATTCTGAGTCCCAAGTATTTCCACTGCAAGTGTAACATGCTAGGACTGTGACGTTTTCTGATCTTTAGTACTTCTGTCTTGCTCCAAACAAGTTAAAAATACACCCTTCTAACTAGCAGAGAGAATAAATCATCAAATGCATACTGTCCTGAAACACAGCACTTTATTTCCAATCCCACAAACATACCAGCCACACAGACCCATTATTAAAAGGAAGACACTTACACTCAAATATATGCTTAATTTTATTTATAACATTTAAGAAATAGCAACATCTCAGGATATCTGGTTTACCATCTAAGTCCAGTCATAAGCAACAAAAAAGAAAATGTTAACCATGTTTCAAATGAGCATTCTTACATTCATTCCCCCCTGTAAAGAAAATTCAGCTTTATTAAATTTGTGTTTGACTAATGGAAAAAAAAATATTAAAAATGTCTTAACTACCAGGCATCCTTGCTTGTTAATTTTGTTTGTTGGCACTTGTGTTCACCACAATCAAGGACTCCGGTTGGTTTATTAAATTTTCCCCTTCTACCCAGAACTGTGTTTTTGTGAGTTTTCTTGTGGATTTTTAATTATTTTTCTTGTTGTAATTATTCTTTTAAACATCTGGATATGTAAGTTTGTCCAAATAACTTTAAAAAGACAAGGAATCTACACCTGTCTAAGAAGCTCCTTCCCTTGATAACCCACCTATGGGATAACTGAAGGAAGAGATTTGCTTTTATTTTTCTGAATCTTATTAAGCAAAAATTCATTTTAAATCATTTTAAACTGAAAAAAGTACAGAAACACTGTCTTTATTTGATGGTGTGCATAAACATTACACTCCATATATAGCAAAAATATCTTTTATTTATAATTTACATTTAAACAAGTGAAAATTTTACATTTTTACATATACCATTAAATTTTCACGCATCTACAGAACTTTCACACAATGACACCTGAAACTGTGCAGGCAGTAAGAAATTTCAAATACAAAAATGTATTTATTAACCAAACAGTAGTTGAGGCCCTGCCTCAGTTGGACATTTTTATTCTTATAAAAAGTATTTGCCTTCCAGAATYAACACAGCAGCTCTTCTGTAAAAAAAAAAAAAACAAACAAAAATCATACCGCAGTTTATTCAAACAGAATCCTCAGGTTCTGTTTTTATTTCTGTAGATGCAGGTGTGCTCTCTTCTGCACAGGCAGGAGGGGTGTCATCGGGTTCTTCTTTGATTTTAGGTGAGTCACAGGACTCTTCTGGTTCCTGTTTAACAATGTCCAACATTGTATTTAATGGATTTTCTGAAGGAGTCTTGCTGGGAGATGGTGTGCAATCAAATGATGATGTCTGCAAAGTGAAAGTCAATGTAGCATTAGCAATTAAAATAACCATTTTTAGCCTCTTACTCCTTTTGCCCTTTTTCAAAATGCAAGTATGCTGATGGTCAGGCACCCTAAATCCTAACTTTCACGTTGTCAAACTTCTAAGAAAATAAATTCATTTTTTTAATAGCATTACCTTTTTTCCAATTCCTTTGAAAAGGTATCACCAAGCAGTGATGAAATGCTTAATGCATTACCATGAAGTGCTCCCTGCTATCTGCCCTCAGGGTAGTTTTAAATTCCAAAGCATTAAAAATGTCAAACACGCCAATACCCACTTACTCCACTGTTACAAATTCCTAAGATTACACATTACTCACAATAAATCCATCAAACCATGGCTTTTCTTTATGGCACACAAGCTGTCATGGTACATCACAACCAGAAACACATCTCAGCTAATTTTGTATTATAAACTTGCCATGCCCAATGCCTCCCAAGTCTCAGGCAAGAGTAATGTGCAGCGCAATCTGAACACATCTGCTCCCTGCAAAGTCAAGAGATCAAACAAACAAACTGACAGCAAAATGCTTAAAAAATATGAAAGATCCACTTACATTTTGGTAATCTTCGTAACAAGATGGATGATAAATCTGAAAAAAAATTGTTATAAATTTAAATATGTAGAAATAAATTATAGCAGGATCACTGATAATGAACTGAACAGTGTCAATTACACATTAGCACACAATTCATCTAGAAAAACTATGATCTGAGCATGCTAAGTATGGTGTCAAATATAACTGAGAAATGATTTTGTGATGTTTATTTAG